GAATCACGTGTTCACTCTTTGTTTGTATTGCGTCAAATCACAACAGATATATGGACAAAAGTATTGGGACACAGCTCAGCACACGCAGCTGTTTCATTCAGTCCCAGTGGTCGGACGCTTGGTTCCAGTGAAGGTGAATCTTTATGCTTCAGCTGACCAGGACGTTCTGGACTATTGTATGGGTCCAACTCTGTGGAACAGTTTGTGGAGGTGTTCCGGCAGGACTCGGGTCCATGGAGGCTCGGCTGGCCCCACAGAGCCCTGACCTCAACCCCATCACTGAACCAGAGCAGAGCGTCTGAGCCCTCTGGTCCAGCTCCAGAGTCTGACCTCACACACATCTTCTGGATGAAGGAGCAGGAGTTCCCACAGACACGGTCCAGAGTCTTGTAGAAGAGTGGGGCTTTGAAGAGGAGAAGACTATTCATTTTATTTGAGATAAAATTATGTTCTAGTTAATCAAAGAAATCAATTCATTAGAATAATCAAGAAGCAGAGTTGTGGTTAAACCAGAGTAAATGTTCCAGTGAGAAGCTCTGGAACAGGAGTTTTTTAGCTGCATTCAAACGACTCTGCTGTAAACTGTGTTTCTGTTTCTCATCCAGAACGTGACTTACCGACGGGACTGAGCACCAAACCACCAAAAGCCTCAAGCCTCAAACGACACAGGAGGTTTCCTGCTTTAGAGGCGACAGCAGAAGTTTTGGCGGCAGCAGAGGTGAGACAAAGTTTCACCCACGTTTCCTCCATGAGTCACAGCCAGTGCTGGTTTTCAGTCTGAGACAGGTTCAGCTCAACCTGAGGAAAACCAGTCCACTCATTTTTAGATTTTCTTTTCCCAGTAACGAGCCCATGAAGCCCCACATCTCACCCAGGAACCGAACCTGTCCTGCCTGTTTCTCTGGATTCACTCAATATCTTTCTCAGAACATTTTCAGACATGACCTCAGGAGGACGTCTGGAGAACTGAGTCTGGACTTTCTCCAGAGTTTGTCTCTCATACATGAACACAGCAGGAGATTCTCCGCTCAGACACGTTCACAACAACACAGAAATCCCTGAAGCGTTCAGGTGGGGGCGGAGCAGCAGGCGGAGGCAGGAAGTAAAGATCAGGTTTTTGTTCCCAGCACATCAACATCTTCATGTGTGTCCTCTACACGTATGTTTTCTTTTTCATTTCTGCATCTGTCAGAAACGTGATCAACGCGCCCACTCGCTCAGGAAACTGCAGACACTCCGGAGGCTCGGACATTTGCACGCAGCTCCTCCGCAGATTATCTGGAGATCAGTGCACGTTGCAGCTTCGCTCTCTTTTCCATTTTCATTGAACAGTTTTTTATGACATTTTATTGACCAGTCGGTTTGTTTCTCTGTCGTCTCCTCCGCTCAGGATCCGTCTGCAGCTGCCGAGGACACAAACGATCAGGACGTGGTTCTGATAAAGGAGGAAGCAGCGAAAACAGACGTGGACGACGATGACGCGGGAGACGAACTGCTGCTCGACGAGGACGGTAAGAGAGGAGACATTAATGATCCATCAGGCTTCAAAATAAAAGCACCGTCACAGATGTTAATGAAGCAGGAACACGAGAGGTGAAAGACGTTTTAACGTAAATGATTCAACAACAGGGTAACAGGCTAACCCTCATTCAGTGAGACATTTTTTTTATCCCGCGGGAAATAACAGCACGAGATGGTGATCATCTTATGGATCAGTTCAGCTCTCTGAACATCAGAGCATCTTGTAATAATCCAAATTAACACCTGAACATGGGCAGGTGTTTCTTCTTGTTTGTATGAGAAGGCAAAATAGAATGTGGCCCATTCTACTTCAGTCTACAACAAGGGAGGATATTTTAATATCAAACACTCCAAACAGACTCCAGCTGTTTTCATTCTTTCTTTCTTCTCTGAGCAGAGTTGTGTTTTTAAATATAGACGTCTTGACAAGAACGTGTCTCATTGTTAATGTGCATTGATGTGTTTGTCTGCAGGGAGCGAGCTGCAGCCGTCGGCAGCAGATGACAGTGACGAGGGACCCTCTGGGATGATGAACTCCACCTCGGACATGAGGTTGTGGGATCAGACCAGTAACAGAACTTCAGAACCAGTCGAATCCCTCAGCGCGCCGGGCTCTCCGGGCCCCGCGGAGGTCACTGAGAGCAGCTCATCTGTGGACATGGTGTTTGAATTGGCGTCAGAGTCGGACTGTGAAGCTCTGTCCACGGCCCCGTTGAGGAAGCCCTTTTTGATCGGGGTAGGGACGAGTCCAGCCTCTCTGCCTGGGACCTCTGAGCTGAAGCGGGGCGTGTCTCTGATCAGCTCCATCCCCTACGAGACAGAGCTGGACCTCTGCTCCTCCTGGCCTGGACAGGGCCTCCCGAGCATGGTGCCCGTCCCACATCGGCCGTATCTCAAACCGGACCACCGCCCGACACTCATGGACAAAGTGTGCGACCTGAACACTGCAGGCTTCCCCTTGACGCTGGGCCTCGGCGGCTCCAGACTGGACCCTCTGGACCTGAACAGGTACTGCAGGGACAGACGCTTCATCTGCAGCTACTGCGGGAAATGCTTCACGTCATCACGGAGCCTGGAGACACATGTTCGCGTCCACACGGGAGAGCGGCCGTACAGCTGTGCTCAGTGCGGGAAGCGCTTCACGCAGTCGGGTCACCTGAAGACGCACCAGAGCGTCCACACCGGAGAGCGGCCGTTCGCCTGCGAGCACTGTGGGAAAAGATTCGCCGGGAAGCAGAACCTCAGGATCCATCAGCAGAAACACCACCCGGCCGAGCAGGGAGCCGTCGCTGCTCAACATCCTGGTGTGATCCGCTGAAATATGCACGGATGGTTCTGTGCTGAGGAAACCAGCGTCAACTGTGATGGACAACGTCACTGCTGAACTCACTGAAACAGAACTTTCTCAAGTTGAAGGCCTTTTAAAGAGTTTTGAGAAGAACTGGTGCTTTTACATAGAAAAACTGATCAATAGTTGTGACTGTTAAATTTAGGCCGTGGTTATATTTAACTCTGATCTGCCTCAGAAACAGAACATTGACTCCGTTTGATCTTGATCAATTCTTACCTCATAAAGACTGTGGAGTGTGTTCAGTTCCCACCAGGACGTCAGGATCGAATGCCGCCGGATGAAAACAGATTCCTGTAGAAGAAGCATGTGAATGTTTGCTGGATGTTTATCTGGAATAAAACGTGAACAAACTGAAATGAACTGTTTCATTACTGAGTTGTAAATTTATGTTAAATAAAAT